CTAAAATCAAGAATAGACTTAAACAAGCTTACCTACATCAGCAACAAAAGAACAAGAATTTTCATTATAAACACTTCCAGCATCTGGTCCAAAGAGGAACAAATAATAAAGCTATCAGATATATTACATGCCATAAATCAATTAAAATACTAAGTTGCAATAGAAGTCTAAGAAGCACCGTTCCTAACTGTCAGATTAGAGTGATCTTATCACATTATTCAGCTGCCTGCATCGTTACCAAAGCCATGGCACACACTCTACTTGAATTAACTCAACAAACATTGTCCCAACTATGACCAAAGCATACAAACCAAATTATCTCTAAACTTGAAATTCAAGATTACAGATGAGATGCATAAGTACAGTTTATAAAGCTAACCTTCAAAAGGGAACCTATCAATCGAATCAACTCACCTAAACTAAAATTTTCATATTTTTTCACCAAGAATATATATATATATATTGAGATGACAAAACCCTACTATTTGGATCTCTACTAAAAACTTTTAGCTAGCCTCGTTTCGTAAGGATTAAAACCCATTACTGATATTGAAAAATTTATCCAATAATTCCCAATACCAATAGCTATTGACTCGATTCTCGATGTCATCTTCATTCAATGAATTTAGATTACTCCTGATTTTATAAACTTCAGACCAATTTGAGGTGAAATTCATATAACAAGACTATCATTGGGATCAAATTTACTAGTTATATTTCTAGCGTACGACATATAAATAGTGGCCAAATTTGAATACTATATTTTGGATAGCATCTCAGGTGTTGTCAAAGCATTGGTTTATGGACCTCAACTCTTTCATGTGAGTGACACACATCACATCGAATCCACAATATGATCATCATAGCATCACTATGAATATATATATATATATATACACACACAAAGTATGTATTTTGTTGCACTTTAGTTTCTAATATTTTAATTTTGTCAGTTTCGACCTCTAACTACCAAATGTGAGTTTAAATGGTCCCTAGTAATCACATAGTCAAAATTGATTAATGGAAACTACGGTATTTTTGTAATTTTACACAAAAACTTCAAGAAATCAAAATGACCAAATACACGTCTCAGAATTTGTGTTTTGTTGCCTTTTAGTCCCTTATCTTTTTATTAAAAAAATTATTTTTTGGATAAAGTTCTGAAAATACCACGCTCCCGTTAATCAATCTAGACAACTGAGCATTGGGACTATTTTCTCACATTTTGTACTTAAGGGACCAAATCAACAAAATAAAAAGATTGAAAACTACAATGCAACAAACTTGTCATCATTAGTACTATGTTTGTGTGTTTGTATCTATAAGTTTAGCCCCACTTAGTTGGGATGGGCTTTGGGATGCCAACGTAGTTGGGATGTTTTAGCTCATTGTGATGCTTGCACTTGCCTCCCTTTATTGATGTTTTGTTTTGTATTTTGTACTTTGCTCATTCATCAATAAAGTTTCTTTTGCCGATCAAAAAAAAAAGGTTAGCCCCACACTTTTGACATAATCACGCTTGTCTCACTTTGAGATTTTAATTCACAATATAGTTAAGCCAATTTTTTATCAATAATTCCTCGATAATTCGTTAGTAATATTATTGAACAAAAAATTGATATATTCATCTATTTTAAATAAAATATATATTTATCTTTAATTATTTCAGTGTCTATCTACTATCATTAGTTTCCATTGTTTTAGCTGCACTAAAAGTTAAAAGAACAATGTAATTATGTCCAAAGTGTGGGACTAATTGTATTTTCTCCAAATGACAAAATGTGCCATTTTACCATAAAATTTCATACCATCGACCGCAAATTGGCATAACAAAAATGTTATAATCAAGCCACAAAAAAAAAAATTATACATTTTATAATGCCAATTTGTAATGAGGTTAAGGCCTCGTTTGGGAACAAATTTTTTTAGTAACTTTTTGACTTTTTGGCTAAAATGTGATGTAAAAAAAACCAGTATGTTTGGGATGACTTTTTAGCTTTTTACGAAAAGATATGCAAAAAGTAGAAAGAAAAGATAATCTTTGACTTTTTGATATGGGTTATTGGCTTTTGGGTTTTTTTAGTGACTTTTTGACTTTTTAACTAAAAAATTCACTTGCCAAACGAGGCCTAAGTATTGTATTTTGCGATTGATGTTAAGAAATTTTGTGATAAAATTACATATTTTTGTGATAGGGTGCATATCAAAAGGATGCATAGGATCTTCCCCTACATGTTAGAGAGTAGGAGATGAGAGAGAGAGAGAGAGAGAAAACTTACAATGGGAATACATGAAGGGACTTTTCGTCGATACATGTAAGAAAATAGGAACCGTCGGTGTTGGAACAATTCGTCTTGAATTCTTCAGTTGATGGTCTTCAAGTCTTCAAAACTTGGCAATAAACTTGTCTATGTAGAATAGAAATTTGTGCTTCAAGTCGCGTTACTTAGTCGTTTTCCAAAAGGTGGGCATGGGGTTACAGCAAATTTGCCTCTAGGATACAATGAAGTCTGATTTAAAAATCAAGTCTACCGGCGTCTGCACTGACGACAGTAGATCAGAATACTTTTGATATAATCAAGAAAACCAAGACACTAATAATCAAGTCTGCAGAATTTGATTACTAATAAGAAAAGTAGAAACTTGCTTAAGAAACTCTTGATCGAAAACTCTAAATCAAGAGGGAGAGAGAGAGAGAGAATTGTAGAAATGATATTTGAATTTTTGGATGGAGTTGGATGGATTGAAATGGCTGATTTCACAGCCTATTTATAGGCCTTGATGCACCTAATCGAATGGTCATGTCCCTTGATCGCATCCGATCAGATCTAACCGTTGGATCGACGATCTATGGTACACATCATTCTCACATCGAATAGATACCTTGACTGATCACACCTGATCACGATCAGGTGCCATCTCATCCGTACAATCCCGTGCATTTCCAATCAATGGCTATGATCAAATCACTCCAGATCGGACACACAATCATTCGATCGATGGATTGACTCATCGCCAACGGATGCCACATCACTGCTACATGGAACTGACTACGTTGGATCCATGCCATCACTCCAACCTATTCGATGCAAATAAGAAAGCGCCCTCATGACGTCGATGCAACTGTGCAAAATGCGCCATCAAATGCCACAAAGCCCACTGCCCACGCCACGCGCATGCATGCGTGTGTGGATAATGACCATCCTTGCGGTGTAAATGCATGCACACTAGTTTTCACCTCACAATTCCATATTCAAATGAATATTCCATGAAACACTTCATTAAGTGCTCTATGTTTTGCCCTCTTTCCAATATGGAACAAAGCCCCTAAGCTTATTTCAAACTTTCCAAAGAAAAATAAGGAAGGTTTTAAAAACACCCAAAAAATTAAACTATAAATTTCGAAAACCATTTTGAAAATTTCCTAACAGTCGGGAGACCTAGAAAGAGAATATTAGAGGGAGAGAGACAGAGAGAGAGAGCAGAAACAAACCATTTGATGCCATAAGGGAAATTGTTAGGGTTTGAGGAGGTGTTTCTGAACTGGTAGCAGAAGTGGTTGGTTCTGACTGGAGGGACTTCGAAGCGAATCACAGGCCAAGAGTAGTCCTCTACTACTTGCTCTCTTGATTCTTTTGTTGTCATTTCTTCCACTTCCTTTTTCAAATAGGATTGCTACTTCTACTTCTGCTTCTACTGTGCTTCCTCCTCCCCCATTGTTAGGGACTCTGACTGAATAAGACTCACCCAGCTCTCTCTCTCTCTCTCTCTCTCCAATTTCCAAATCTCCAACTTTGTGTTAACTCATTTTCTAGTCTCATCCACTAGCATGATATCATCTGCAAAAAGCATACTCTATCATCCTGAATATTTTTCGTCAACTCATCCATAGCCGGTAGTATTTAGAAAATATATTTATGCATATCTATATAATAAAGCAGGAGAGTTTTTGAAAATGTGTCAAAATGTCTTAGAGATACATTTTGTTTCAAGGGTTAATATTAATTCCCAAATTCATTAAGGATCAAGATTTCTTTAATTTTCGCTCACCCACCTTCTTTTCCCCCATTTTTTTCACTCATGCAATCTCTCTCTCTCTCTCTCTCTCTCTCTCTCTCTCTCTCTCTCCTGCCCACCTTCCTTCCTCTTTCCTTTTTATATTTTTATTTTTATTTTTCCTCTTTTTATTTTCCTTCCTATTTCTTTATTTTTTATTTTTTATTTTTCTCCTTTTTGCTCACTTATTTTATTTACATTATGCCTTTAGGCACGGACATGCACTAGTATATATATTAGAAAGTGTACGAATTTTTTTATGCTATGCTGTGAAACCACCAATAGCAAATCAATGAAATATAAACCGTCAACAATGTTGTGTACCCAAAACAAAAAAAAAAATTAAAAATGTTCAAATTTTCTATGCTAGGCCATGAAACCACCGGTGCCAAAATAGACCATTAAGCCTTTTGGCTGATTGTAATTGGAGAAACATGTATAGCTAAACACGATTCGGAAGCAAGTTTTGGTTGTCCAATAGTTCTTGGCAGCATTACAAACTAGACAAGTTTTGATAGTGTCTATGAACGCAGCGACTACTAACCTTTGTCCAAAACAAATTAAAGAAACTTAAATAGGCGGCAGGACGATGATTCAGTAGCATGAATCCTAATTGGTAGTTAAAATTGCTTCACTGTGGAGATTATGAAACAAAGACACAAATTTTTGTCATCTAATCAATAGAAAAAGAAAATCTTCAATTCACCATCGTTGTATTCCAAGTGCACTGTCTCATATCCCTAAGAAAATCCGATAGCTCTTCTATTTCTCCACCCACCCACCCACACACACACAAAATTCATCACACTAGACATTACATTGTTGGATTTATTGACAATAAACAAATTGAAGGAATATTACTGGGATTAGGACATATGCTTTTGCCTTTGATTATATGTATTGTTAGACCTTTCTACGTACCATTGAAGGGTGACAAAGAAGCAGAGAGAGAGAGAGAGTGAATGAATGAATGAAGTTTGGGAAAAGCCTTCGTAGTGAGATAGCCGAAACCTTGCCTGAATGGAAAGGCGAATTTATATCGTATAAGGAGTTGAAGAAGCAACTGAAACTGATTGCGCACGAGGAGGAAGAGGGCATGATCGATTTTATACAGTTATTAGATAATGAGCTTGAGAAGGTCAACACATTTTTCATTGACAAGGAAGAAGAGTACATCATCAGAATAAGGGTACTGTAATTTCATTTTTTTTATTTATTTTTATTTTTTTTATTTTTATGTTTGATGAATTGGGATGCAGGAGCTGAAGGATAGAGTAGCAAACATGGAAAGCAGTGAAGACATGACGCGAGTTAAACTGGACATATTGGAGTTTCATGGAGAGATGGTTTTGCTATTGCACTACAGTGTCATCAACTTTGCCGGTAACTTTTACCCTCGATGTTATATATTATTGATTTTTTTTCCCTCACCGTTTTATATTACTTGGGTACATGGCAAGCCATTTTTTTAACGATTATTTTCAAACAAAACTCCACAAGTAATGATATAAAAGAATGACAAAAAGCTGAAGATGAGAGAGAGGGGCAACAAAAGACTACAGAGTAATAAAATTTCGTGAATTAATCAAAGGATAAAAAATTTTTCATGAAATATTTTATGATATTTTTTTCATAATTCTTAATATTATTCTATTAATATTGTTCTAGTTATTGCATACCTCATCTAAGAAAAAGTTTTGTATACTAATAAGATATTAACGCTATATTTGGTTGGAAGATTTGATGAGAAATTTAGAAAGGGAAATGGAAAAGTTAGGTGAAATATGAATAAAATATACTTATATTTCACATAGTTTCACCCACTTTTTCCTTTTCTCTTTTCAACTCCCTTTTCAAATCTCCCAACCAAACAAAACATAAGTGTTATTACTCTTTCACCATTCACAAATATATATGTCCTCATTTAGTATATGTGTGTGTATTTATAAGTGAACTTGGTTGATAGTTGCAATCACTTGAAAGATATTTGCTACTTTATCCCATCAAGAATCTTTTAGAGTGTTTTTTTCCTAAAGTTTCCTAAAATGGTGTATTGTGTGGTTGAGATTTAATGTTGAAAAATTGATGTAACTTGTCATTAAATCTCAACCACACAATGCACCACTCTAAAAAATTTTAGGAAAAAAAAAACGCTAGAGAATCCTTTCTCACTTTATCCTATCATTCCACTTTATGTGGGACCGTGTCCACATAAATGATGCTCTAGGAACCGATAGGTAGGGGTGGGAATTTATGTTACGTTATGTTACGTTACGATAGCACGATTCGAATTATACATAAAATTAATGGATTGTGATTGATCATTCTCGATACGAATACGTATATGACACGATCTGATTATATGAATATTAAACAGGTCAAATTAGTATCAAATATATATAACACAAAATTGACATAGATAACTTGTAAAATAAAAAATTAGTTACACATTTAATATTATTTTCATTGAAGATTAATATGACATTTTTTAACCTCTTAGGTAATTACATCCAATTTATTAAAAAGTATGTAAAATATAATTTTAAGTTTAATATAAGTTTTTTTTTTAATTGAACTTAATGTTTTTTTTTTGTGTGTGTGTGTGTCTATTATTTGAGTTAATCTAATAAAAAAATATAATATTTATAAATTAAGAAATTAAAATTAAGTTGAAATTAAATATTTTTATAAATATTTTCATTTAATAGATATTAGTTTCATTAAATTTAATTTGTGAAGAAATTTTTAAATTTCTTTCATACATTTGATATTTTTAGTTAATAGTAAAAAATTTTGACATGATACGAACAAAATAATAAACGGATCGGACTAGTGTGGAGATAATTCTGACACGAATCCGAGTTAACATGACACGAATACGACCCAGCACGATATCCACCCCTATGGAGAAGCACGTTTTGGGCCAGGTGGAGTGGCGTTCCATTGACTTTGTCCACCCCTTGCTTGGGCTAGGCTGCCCGACTTGTGGTGGAGATCGGCTGCCTGGTTGTGCTGCAAGCTCAGCAACTCTGCCATGTGCCCTGCCCAGTCACAACTCGGCGTGGCAGAGTGGCAGCTTGGGATTTACCTCCCACAAAAATCATTCAATACGTATCGGAATTTTGGATTTCAAATGCCAATATTGATCAATTTATCTGCCGATATACCTATACGAATAACATTATCTAGATATACCTACACGAATAACATTATCTAAAATCTTAGATTTCGAAGTCAATTTTTGCAGAACAGCAGTAATTTGATACTGAAACAGTTTCATTTCCTACATTGTGTTATACTTGAGACAGGATTGTTGAAGATAGTGAAAAAGCACAACAAGAAGACAGGGACTGTGATTTGGTTGCCTTTCATGCCCAAAGTTCTTCAACAGCCATTCTTCACCAGTGACTTAATTTGCAAACTCTTGAAGGAGTGTGAAGTGATGCTCAATCAACTCTTCCTGTAAAGACTGCTCTCATTGTTGTGAATGAGAACAATGAGCTCAACACCTTGCTTTCCACCACAAGAAAGATGGGCTTTTTATGTTTTTTTTTATGGAGGATTCTCTCCCGTCTAAAATCTAGACTGAAGAGGGCTGTTTAATCTCCTCGGGTTCATCATGGGTTTCATTTCGATTATCGAACCATGCATTTTTTTAGATATTTCGTGTATGTTATACACACAAAAAAATTAAATCGATTAGATAACTGTAACTTATTCAATTTACTGTGTTTTATACTAAAAAAATAGTCAATAATTGTGTTTTTAAAAAATAAATCATATATTTTTTTGATGACAAAAATAATAAATTGAATAGGATGCAGTTATCAGATCAATCTAATTTATTTTTTAGATAAAATACACGAAGTATCTAACAAAATGAACGATTCTGATCATCAAAACGGAACCCGTAGTAGGTCTCATAGGCCCAAACATTTGGACTGGATGGAATTTTTCTCCTGTTTTTGTAGTATTTGGTGCTATATATAGTAACTATGGCCCAATGAAAATATTACATGCAAAAGAACCATATGTATCAAAGAGAAAATGATTTGGTTCACACATTGACAAAGTATGTAAATAAAACACAATTTGTGATTGGTCTAAAGCAGTAGTCTCATTTGAAGAGTATATTGATCCATCCAAATTACAAATTTGTATTTTGTTCACACCTTGTCAAATATATGAACAGAATCAGACTATCAAAAATAGTGCTTGTTGAAGATCTTTTTAGTGTTAAATATCATTCAATATAGTATTTCGATATATGATATAAAATAAAAATATGGAGAAATCTCAAATTATGTGAAACATAAATTTCATTTTCATGAAGTTAAGTATCTCTTGTTTGAATATATAGTGTATTTTTTATTCAAACTATCCAATGAAATTAATTTGCCCCTAGAAGTGTCTTTTTTTTGCCCTAAACATACAAGAAGTTAAAGACCAAGTATCCCCCAATTCCAAACACATGAATTTCAACACAAATATAAGAAGGCCATCAAAATGAAAATGATTCAAATGGCTGAAGCAGAATCTCTCTCTGATACTGATGATGATATTGTATTGGAAACACTTCCCCCAATTACCACCAACAAGAGGCAACCGACAATTTCTCCAACATCGTCTCCAATACAAATTCTCACGTAAGATCTTGACGAACAACTATTCTGAAGGCGTGGACCTCAACAATTTGTTACAAGAGCAAATCCCATGTTACTCTGACAAAAGCAAACTCGTGATCAAAAGCAGATTTCAACTTATCAATAATTCATAACAAGGACAATCTTGTGTGACTGACAAAAGCAAATCCATGATCAAAAGTAATTCTAACTTATCAATAATTCATAACACGAACAATCTCATGTGACTTTGACAAAAGCAAACCCAGGAGTAAAAACATATTCCACCATATCTCTTCGGATGTCAATTCATTTCAAATCCACCTTTCAAAATTTATATAAGCTTTTGAATTCGCCAGTTTTTATCAGCTATTAGAGTGAGTATGAAAAGTATAAGTGTGTAAACAATGTGAGTGTACGGAGTAGTTTTTATATATACTAGTTTGCTCTAGGCAATTTGGTTTTACTCCTGGTTTTGTTTTTGTCAAAGTTTGCTTTTGCCAGAGTCACATGAGATTGTCCTTATTATGAAGACAAATATAGTTCTTCTTAAAATCTCTTATACCGCGTTTGGCAATGCAAAATTCATCCCTTGAACATAGAACTAAAAGCTTTTAACTTTTGTACTTCAACATTATCAAAGAACATTAGCTTGTTTGATTCGATTTTATTTTTAAAAAATCTATGAAGTAATAATGTGGGGATATATTTTCTGGTACCAACACGTGGTAAGGTGACGCCGATGTGTCAGCCGAGGTGCCACGTGTCCTGGTCATTATGCCGAGGTTATCTCCGAAGATATCGGAATCCGAGATAAACGGATAAGAGACAAGAGTCCTAAATTGAAGATGAGACTTAGCCAAGATAAGGATAAAGCTCTTAGGGAGTTTATCTTTATCTCTTGAGGAGTCCAAAGTAAGTACTGAACAGGGATCCATAGAAGTCAGGCTTCTAATGGGATTTGGATTGAGGTAACTATAAAAGAAAGACACCCTCGTGGGTCTAAAGTACGCAATCTTATGCTTTGAACAGTGAGTTTAGCACTTGATTATCTTTGGAGATATACTGACTTGATCGTCGGAGTACCCCCGGGTGGAAGAACCACCGCCGGAGCCTTCTCTTTCTGTTACAGGTTAATTGAAGCCATCTATTCTGCCGGTTCTCTCTAGCTGATTACTAAATGGGCAGTGTGATCAGAAAATCACTCACACAATTTGGCGCCGTCTGTGGGAAACTTAGAAGAATAGATGGCCAGTAACGGACAAAAGGAAAAGATTGGGGATGACACTCCTGCTGGGAGTGGCAAACCAATCGACCTTGATATTGAAGGAGACAACCACAATGCAAAAACCCGTGACCAGGGCCACGGAGGAAAAGACGTCGGCCAGGAGGGCGACACTTCGAAGAAGACAGACCAAAGCAAGTACTATAACGAAGATAACCTCCAGGTATGGAGGGATAGGTGCCTGCGAAGGGATGAAGAAGTAAAAGAATTGGCAAACAAGTTGGCAGACCTACAGTCGGTCGTCAACTTCATGATGCAAAACAATGTCATGCAGCCACCATACCCGCTGCACGACACGCCGATTCTAGCAACTAATACCCAGAAGGGAGGAAGGAAAATAATCCCCGAAACCCCTCAGCACACCAGAAGCGGAAGGCACTCTCACCGACCTTCCAGGGAAGTCGGACGAGAGGAGCCGAGACGAGAGGAGTCCCGAAGGACGTACCACACGAAGGACCCAGAACCCAAAGAACATCGGCATGTTCAAGGGCAGGCGCTCTGCTTTGACACAACCCATGGAGAAAGATCAAAACGGGCCCACCACGAGGCCGAAAGTAGTGTGCCGAAAATATTGAAGTTCGAAGATAGCCGAGCTCCAGGGAGGAGTGAAGAAGACTTGAGAGATTACCTCAAGAGGAAGCAACAGAATGCTGAAGCCAAGGTAACTTCCCCAGTTAAGCCGAAGACACCATTCTCGGTGGAATTGGACAAATTTGAAGCACCAAAGAGATTCAGTATATCGAGGTTCCAAATATATTATGGTAAGTCAGATCCCAACTTTCACGTTGGACTATACCTGAATTCAATGGCATTATGTAATGGGAACGAGCCGTTGCTCTGCAAAGTATTCCCCTCATCCTTCAGGGAGATTGCATCAGATTGGTTCTATAAACTACCGAAGGGAAGCGTAAAGACTTGGGAAGGCCTGGCCGAGATGTTTGTGGCCAGGTTTGTGACGAACAAACTACAGCCCTTGAGGGTCGACGCACTGATGGCTTTAAAAATCACCAAGGATGAAGGCCTTAGGGCCTACGCAAAAAGGTATTACGAGGTGTTCAATCGAATACTCGAATGCAACCAAGAGGTGGCGGTCGTGTCTTTCAAGAACAACCTGAAAGATGACTGCCCACTACGGAAGTCTTTGGCAAAGACATTGCCAGAAAGCATGGAAGAACTCATGGCAAGAATCGAGAAGTACGCCAGAGCCGAGGATGATACGTCGGGAAACAAAGAGACAAAGCAGGAAAAAGGAAACGGCTCACCGAAGCGAAGCCAAGGTAACAATGGATCGATCAAACAAGAATCGAAATTGAGGGCTAAACAGGCAGTGACGACTGTGTTCCGAATCCGGGTCCACAAAGTCCTGGATCAAATACGAAACCAACCCTATTTCAGAGCACCGACAAAAACACCAGGGGAATTTATGGAAAGAAACGTCGGTAGGCGTTGTGCTTACCACAATGAAGAAGGGCACCCAACTCAGGGTTGTAGAGCCCTAAAAGCACACTTAGAAGACTTGGTGAGGCAAGGCCATCTGAGAGACCTTGTCGATGAGGCCAGGACAAGAGAAAAACAGGCAAGATTGCCTCAAGCACCAGCAGCTCTGCCTCCCCCAGCACAGCAACCACAGGCAGGAGGACCACGGGTGGTTAATGTAATTCACTCAAAGGTGAACGAAAACGACATACGAGGGGAAACCCAGAAGGTAAAACACCTACAGCACGTGAACCAGGTCGGACATAAAAGACCTCGGCCTGAAGAATGCCAGGGACCAACGATAGCCTTTACAGAAGCCGACCTAGAGATGGTCCAGCATCCACATAATGATGCCCTGGTAGTATCCCTCCAGGTCGGGGAGTACCAAGTGAAACGCATCCTGATTGATCAAGGCAGCTATTGCGACATCATGTATGTTAGATGCTACAAGGAGCTGGGCCTTCATCCTGATGACTTAGAGCAGTCCAATGGACTGATGGTCGACTTCAATGGAACGCCGACATGGCCACTGGGGGCAACAAGCTTGGAGGTGCAGGCTGGCACCAGAAAAATCAAGACAGAATTCACCATCATCGACACACCCTTCCCTTACAACATCATCTTGGGAAGGCCATGGTTGCATGCAATGGGGGCAGTTCCCTCAACATTGCATCAACTATTGCGATTCCCAACAGAGCATGGGATAGAGGAAGTTAGAGGCGATCAGCTACAGGCGAAGAATTGCTCCATGGCAGCAATGAAATCTATCTACAGCGTGCGAGAGGCAGAGAAGGCAGAAATTGAAGATGAGGATGTGGAAGTCGTAGAAGACGTCGGCAAAGAACCAGCCGAGAAGAGCGAAGAGACACTAAAAAAATCCTCATCCAGGATAGGGACGAAGAACGCTTCTTTCTTCTCGGCTCGGGCTTAGCCAAAGAAGAGGAAAAAGAGTTGGAAACTTTTTTGAGAGCAAATATTAAGGTGTTCGCTTGGACACCTTACGAAATGCCTGGCATTGACCCTGAGGTCACTTGCCACAAACTAAATGTTGATAGGTCGGCCAAACTTGTAATTCAGCGAGCCAGAAGACCGACGTTGATACACGTCGAAGTAGTAGAAGAAGAAGTAGACAGACTTCTGGAGGCCAGGGCCATTAGAGAAGTACACTACCCAACATGGCTATCCAATACAGTGGTGGTAAAGAAAACAAACGGTAAATGGAGGGTCTGCGTTGAGTTTACCAGCCTCAACAAAGCCTGTCCCAAAGACAGCTTTTCCCTGCCCAAAATTGACCA